GTGTTGCCGCTGCAGTGGGCTTGCTGTGCCCACAGTTAAAGGTCTCTCCCCTTCTCTTTCAGCATCTAATAATAGGCTCCTTAGCGTGTTCCCTCCAGCTATCTCAAAACAGTGGGGAAACTGAGGCACAACTGGTACTTCCCTGAGCACCTCCTTGTGATTGTGGTTGTTCTTTTAAATGTTGACACCTGTCCTGCAGCATCCAGAATGGGACCCAGCAGCTCACTGCACCTCAGGTAATGGGCAGAGGTGTCAGGTGGTAGGCATCTAATGGTCTCAGCAAGCACAGGCTGAGCTCGAAGCCACGGCCTTGAGACCAGACTTCTTAGTGATTGTCACTGCCCACCGGAGCAGCATGGCCTAGTGAATAGAGCAGTGGACTGGGACTCAGGAGACATGAGTTCTGTTTCCAGCTCTGCTACTAGCCTGCTTGGTGAATTTAGACAAGTCCTTCCCCTCCCCCCTCATGCCTCAGTTTCCCCATCTGTAAAGTAGGGTGAATGATCGTTACCTCCTTTGAAAAGCACTTTGAGATCTGGTGATGAGACGAGGTAGGTGGCATTACTGGTAATGCTTCACTCTCACGTGAGGTACGTCTCCCCACCCCTGTCTGAGGTCAGATGGATCGCCACGGCTCTGTCCGGGCTCAGGAGTTGGGTGTGCAGCTCAGGCTGGGGTTGGCTGAGGTGACTCACTGCTACCGCAGGTTGTGTGGAAGCAAATGGCACTGAGGGTGCTAAAAATACAGCGGCTGTGCATCATACCCAGGCATGCCGGGCGGGGACAGGGGGAGCTGGACTGATTCATGAGCCAGGACTGTACCTCTAATGCCAGCCTGCAGCCGACAACACCCACCACAACACCTACACCCCGGCACACATATGCCCACCCTCCTCTCTCTCACGCATCCCCCTGTACGTACCTCCACCCACGCAATCTTACACACACCTCCATGTAGTACACAGTCACCCACATACCACACCCAGGTTCACTGCCCCTCCCTGCCACCCTCGCACACAAATACACCCCCCCACTAACAAACGCCACCTCCATCCCACCTAGACAGTTATGTGAACACACCCTCATAGGCCCAGGTAAATTCAGTCTGACTGCCCCTTACCAAGCTAAAGGAGACAGAACCACAGGTTTAAATCTACGCTCCCCAGCTCTCCTTCTGGCCTCTGCTTCCAAGCTCTCAACTTGCTGGACACTTCCGTTTGTTTTATCCGAATTGTTTTATCAGTGGCCCCCACCCCACAACATCCAAAACGGCTTCCTTTTTACTCTTTAGAAGAAAGCTAGTAAGTTCCAACCCATAGAATTATTAGAATTATGAACAATAATTATGAGAATTATGAACAATAATAAAATAAAAATGCTGTCCCCTTTGCAGACTTGTTTAAGAGGCTGTTGGGGGAGCCGCCAGCCTCGTTACTCATTCCACAAATGGGACCCGGTTTATTTTAAAAGAGTGAAATTCACATGTCCACATACGTATGCCAATGGAAGGGAAACTGATTAATACATTCTAAGGGCAGAAAGGAACCACTGTGATCATCTAGGCTCACCTCCTGTCTGACACAGACCAAGAACTGCCCCCAACTAATTCCTGTTTGAACTAGAGCAGATCATTTATAAAAACATCCAATCTTGATTTTAAAAATGGCCAGTGGTGGAGAATCCATGGTGACCGTTGCTATTTGTTTCAATGGTTAGTTACTCTCACCGTTAAAATTTTGCTTTTTATTTTCAATCTGAATTTGTCTGGCTTCAACTTGCAGCTATTGGATCATGTTACACCTCTCTCTGCTAGATCAAAAAGTCCATTATTACATGTTTGTTCCCCACGTAGGTATTTCTACACTGTAATCAAGTCACCCCATAACCTTCTCTTTGATAAGATAAGTAGATTGAGCTCCTTGAGTCTGTCACTACAAGGCAGGTTTTCCAATTCTTTAATCATTCTCATGGCTCTTCTTTGAACCCTCCAATTTATCAAAGTCCATCTTGAATTGTGGATACATGTAGAACCAGGAGCATGAAGGCACAGTGAGGCGTAAGCCTTGCTAGCTGGTGCCTAAGAAGTAGACTTAAAAATACCCTGGGATCTTAATAAAAATGTAATACAGCATTAATCTAGCAGGAGTGGGAGCATTTTATATAGCTACGTTTGCATATCAGTCTCCATTCTACCTCCCCTCTATTTTTAATAACTTATACTCTTCTGAAATGTCCAGCTTTCAGGCTGAAATTTCCAGTCCTGGTCTCTGTTCAAAGACGGGAGACCGTTTAAGAAAAAATGACAGATATTTTTGAGCCCAAGGAGAATGCAGACAAATCTACTTCCTCCTCGTTATTAAGAAATTTCTTGCCAACTTTTTCTTGAGCAGCTCCAGAGCTGAAACAACCAGATTCAGAAAGTTGAGATACGGCATAAATGAGCCCTCCTGGCGTGTTCCAGAAAAGAACTGGGCTTAATTTGAATGTGTTCTCAGCATGTGGTGTAAGGGCTGTATGTCTTGCATTATATTTTCCTTAAAGCTCTGGTCCTGCAGACATGCTTGTGAGTAACTTTGTGAATGTGGGTAGCATGTACCTCAATGGGGCTAGTTACGTGCTTAAAGCAAACACTGGTATAAGTTCTGGTCGGACTGAAGTGGGGGAAATGCATGCATGAGTGGCATTGGGAGTAGTGCTTTGCATTTTATAACATGCACAGGAGGGGTTCATTAAGCGGAAGGGGCTGCCTTCTAAGAGACCTGAACCAGGTCGTTTCAGATGGCAGAATTTTCCTGCCCTATTGCCAGGTTTTCTGCTAAGCCAACAGAACCTGGGAGGCTCAATGAGTGGAACACCTCCTTTTCTGCCTTGTTTTCACTTTGCCCCAGCTTGGCTGCTTTAAAGAAAACCGAAACACCTCGGAAATTCCTCACAAAAACCTTTGTTAAGAAAACATTAAAGTTGCACTGCTAAGGTGCTCAAAAATGAGGAGATAGCAGCAGGCAGATGGCATGCACAAACCCCAACGTTGACCTGCAAAGATAAAATAGCTGAGGGTATGTCTACACTACGAAATTAAGTCGAATTTATAGAAGTCGGTTTTTTAGAAATCGGTTTTATATATTCGAGTGTGTGTGTCCCCACAGAAAATGCTCTAAAGTGCATTAAGTGCATTAACTCGGCGGAGCGCTTCCACAGTACCGAGGCAAGTGTCGACTTCCGGAGCGTTGCACTGTGGGTAGCTATCCCACAGTTCCCGCAGTCTCCGCTGCCCATTGGAATTCTGGGTTGAGATCCCAATGCCTGATGGGGCTAAAACATTGTCGCGGGTGGTTCTGGGTACATATCGTCAGCCCCCCGTTCCCTCCCTCCCCCCCCGTGAAAGCAAGGGCAGACAATCATTTCGCGCCTTTTTTCCTGAGTTACCTGTGCAGACGCCATACCACTGCAAGCATGGAGCCCGCTCAGCTCACTTTGGCAATTAGGAGCACATTAACCACCACACGCATTATTCAGCAGTATATGCAGCACCAGAACATGGCAACGTGATACCGGGCGAGGAGGCGACGTCAGCGCGGTCCTGTGAGTGATCAGGACATGGACACAGATTTCTCTGAAAGCATGGGCCCTGACAATGCATGCATCATGGTGCTAATGGGGCAGGTTCATGCTGTGGAACGCCGATTCTGGGCTCGGGAAACAAGCACAGACTGGTGGGACCGCATAGTGTTGCAGGTCTGGGACGATTCCCAGTGGCTGCGAAACTTTCGCATGCGTAAGGGCACTTTCATGGAACTTTGTGACTTGCTTTCCCCTGCCCTGAAGCGCATGAATACCAAGATGAGAGCAGCCCTCACAGTTGAGAAGCGAGTGGCGATAGCCCTGTGGAAGCTTGCAACACCAGACAGCTACCGGTCAGTTGGGAATCAATTTGGAGTGGGCAAATCTACTGTGGGGGCTGCTGTGATGCAAGTAGCCCACGCAATCAAAGATCTGCTGATATCAAGGGTAGTGACCCTGGGAAATGTGCAGGTCATAGTGGATGGCTTTGCTGCAATGGGATTCCCTAACTGTGGTGGGGCTATAGACGGAACCCATATCCCTATCTTGGCACCGGAGCACCAAGCCGCCGAGTACATAAACCGCAAGGGGTACTTTTCGATAGTGCTGCAAGCTCTGGTGGATCACAAGGGACGTTTCACCAACATCAACGTGGGATGGCTGGGAAAGGTACATGATGCTCGCATCTTCAGGAACTCTGGTCTGTTTCAAAAGCTGCAGGAAGGGACTTTATTCCCAGACCAGAAAATAACTGTTGGGGATGTTGAAATGCCTATATGTATCCTTGGGGACCCAGCCTACCCCTTAATGCCATGGCTCATGAAGCCGTACACAGGCAGCCTGGACAGTGGTCAGGAGCTGTTCAACTACAGGCTGAGCAAGTGCAGAATGGTGGTAGAATGTGCATTTGGACGTTTAAAGGCGCGCTGGCGCAGTTTACTGACTCGCTTAGACCTCAGCGAAACCAATATTCCCACTGTTATTACTGCTTGCTGTGTGCTCCACAATATCTGTGAGAGTAAGGGGGAGACATTTATGGCGGGGTGGGAGGTTGAGGCAAATCGCCTGGCTGCTGGTTACGCGCAGCCAGACACCAGGGCGGTTAGAAGAGCACAGGAGGGCGCGGTACGCATCAGAGAAGCTTTGAAAACCAGTTTCATGACTGGCCAGGCTACGGTGTGAAAGTTCTGTTTGTTTCTCCTTGATGAACCCCCCGCCCCTTGGTTCACTCTACTTCCCTGTAAGCTAACCACCCTCCCCTCCTCCCTTTAATCATTGCTTGCAGAGCCAATAAAGTCATTGCTGCTTCACAGTCATGCATTCGTTATTCATTCATCACACAAATAGGGGGATGACTACCAAGGTATCCCAGGAGGGGTGGTGGAGGAGGGAAGGAAAATGCCACATAGCACTTTAAGCACAGCACTTTAAAAGTTTACAACTTTAAAATTTATTGAATGACAGCCTTCTTTTTTTTGGGCAATCCTCTGTGGTGGAGTGGCTGGTTGGCCGGAGGCCCCCCCACCGCGTTCTTGGGCATCTGGGTGTGGAGGCTATGGAACTTGGGGAGGAGGGCGGTTGGTTACAGAGGGGCTGCAGTGGCAGTCTGTGCTCCAGCTGCCTTTGCTGCAGCTCAACCATACACTGGAGCATACTGGTTTGGTCCTGCAGCAGCCTCAGCATTGAATCCTGCCTCCTCTCATCACGCTGCCGCCACCTTTGAGCTTCAGCCCTGTCTTCAGCCCGCCACTTACTCTCTTCAGCCCGCCACTTACTCTCTTCAGCCCTCCACCTCTCCTCCCGGTCATTTTGTGCTTTCCTGCACTCTGACATTATTTGCCTCCACGCATTCGTCTGTGCTCTGTCAGTGTGGGAGGACAGCATGAGCTCGGAGAACATTTCATCGCGAGTGCGTTTTTTTTTTCTTTCTAAGCTTCACTAGCCTCTGGGAAGGAGAAGATCCTGTGATCATTGAAACACATGCAGCTGGTGGAGAAAAAAAAAGGGACAGCGGTATTTAAAAAGACACATTTTATAAAACAGTCGCTACACTCTTTCAGGGTAAACCTTGCTGTTAACATTACATACATAGCACATGTGCTTTCGTTACAAGGTCGCATTTTGCCTCCTCCCACCGCGTGAACGGATTTTGGTTGAATGCCAGCAAACATACACTGCAATGCTTTGTTCTACAGTGATTCCCGAGTACGTGTTACTGGCCTGGAGTGGTAAAGTGTCCTACCATGAAGGATGAAATAAGGCTGCCCTCCCCAGAAACCTTTTGCAAAGGCAGAACCGCAAATGCCAGGGCAAAGTAATCCTTTCACATGCTTGCTTTTAAACCATGTATAGCATTTTAAAAGGTACACTCACCAGAGGTCCCTTCTCCGCCTGCTGAGTCCAGGAGGCAGCCTTGGGTGGGTTCGGGGGGTACTGGCTCCAGGTCTAGGGTGAGAAACAGTTCCTGGCTGTCGGGAAAACCGGTTTCTCCGCTTGCTTGCTGTGAGCTATCTACAACCTCCTCATCATCATCTTCTTCGTCCCCAAAACCTACTTCCGTATTGCCTCCATCTCCATTGAAGGAGTCAAACAACACGGCTGGGGTAGTGGTGGCTGAACCCAATAAAATGGCATGCAGCTCATCATAGAAGCGGCATGTTTGGGGCTCTGACCCAGAGCGGCTGTTCGCCTCTCTGGTTTTCTGGTAGGCTTGCCTCAGCTCCTTCAGTTTCACGCGGCACTGCTTCGGGTCCCTATTATGGCCTCTGTCCTTCATGCCCTGGGAGATTTTCAGAAAGGTTTTGGCATTTCGAAAACTGGAACGGAGTTCTGATAGCACGGATTCCTCTCCCCAAACAGCGATCAGATCCCGTACCTCCCGTTCGGTCCATGCTGGAGCTCTTTTGCGATTCTGGGACTCCATCATGGTCACCTGTGCTGATGAGCTCTGCATGGTCACCTGCAGCTTGCCACGCTGGCCAAACAGGAAATGAGATTCAAAAGTTCGCGGTTCTTTTCCTGTCTACCTGGCCAGTGCATCTGAGTTGAGAGTGCTGTCCAGAGCGGTCACAATGGAGCACTCTGGGATAGCTCCCGGAGGCCAATACCATCGAATTGTGTCCACAGTACCCCAAATTCGAGCCGGCAACGTCGATTTAAGCGCTAATCCACTTGTCAGGGGTGGAGTAAGGAAATCGATTTTAAGAGCCCTTTAAGTCGAAATAAAGGGCTTCATTGTGTGGACGGGTGCAGGTTTAAATTGATTTAACACTGCTAAATTCGACCTAAAGTCCTAGTGTAGACCAGGGCTGAGGGGCTGATTCTTCCCGGTGCTGCAGTTCATGTTGTCACTTACAGCTGTGCAAAGGAGGAGCGAGGTGATGACATTCTGATTGGTGGAGTACACAGACGCTAAGAATGTGTGCTCTACTTTGCTTTTTATGATAAGTATTAAGAAGACTTGAATATTTTTTAAAAAGTTTTTCACCTTGAAAATATAGGGATGATGAAGTCTTGTCTTCCCTGCTTTTGCTAAAGGTCTCCTTGGAGGAGCAGTAAGAAATCGCTCAGCCTTTAGTTTCAGGGATGGGGGGATATTGAGTCTTTACCGGAGAGAGCTTTTCCCCTGCTGTGTTTTGAGTTAAGTGAGCATTAATTAAACAAAGAGCTTGAAAAAATCTGAATGAAAACTTCTCGCCCTGCCAGTTGTTCAAGGCTCAGGTTCTTGTGGTTATAGCCGGTCAAAATTTGTCATTTTTTTTTTAATTAAGAATGCCCCCGCCAGCAAATGTAATGAAACATTCAGGTTTTTTAAATGAAAACTGAAAAACCTGGGAGTTCTTTTATTCTGATTGTTTCCCCCCAAATTTGACATTGAAAATGTTCAAAAATCTGTTGTTCTCAAAACAAAACCGTTTCCCAACAAATTTCATTTTTTTTACTTTGTTTTCCAAACAGTGCTCGGCCTAACCTTGCTGGATCTCTAGTCGTCCACAGAGTCCTCCTGTAACAACAGGCTAGACAAATCTGGCACTGTACACAGAGATTCCTGAACAGGGGAGCATGGGCCAGAGACCAGAGCTGAGAGTTGTGGATCACCTCGTTTCCAGCTGCTCCGTCCCATTAAAAGAAGCGGAAGCGAGGTAAACACTTTCCTAATGTACATTTCCCATGTATGTGATTGTTGCAGGGAGGTGATGCGACCACAGATGAGCGGGGCAGGTCTATTTGACAAACTCTGCTAAGAGATGAGGCACGCAATGAAAGGTTAAAAGACAAGGACTCGTATGGACTTCCTTATACTTTGTAAAGCTGCAGAAAAAGACAATTTCCCCCCTTTTGTTGGTCCACTTTAAATCTGCACCTTTGCATGTGGCAGCATGATAAGATCTTTAATTTCAAGATCAAATACTATTTCTCAGTGACTGCACTGTACTGTCATCTGATTTATTTTTTGTACAGTGTCATTGGCAGAGTTGTGAAAGTAACCTAGGAATCCTGAGACCTATCCCCCCCGAATCTGACCATTCGATCACATTCCCCTCCCAGAGCCAGGAGTAGAACTCAGGCACCCTGGTTCCCAGCTCCCATTTATGACTGCTAAATCAGGGGTGGGCAAACTTTTTGGCTCGAGGGCCACATCTGGGTATGGAAATTGTATGGTGGGCCATGAATGCTCATGAAATTGGGGGTTGGGGTGCGGGCTCCGGCTGGGGCTGCGGGCTCTGGGGTGTGGCCAGAAATGAGGAGTTCAGGGTGTGGGAGGGGGCTCCAGGCTGGGGCAGGGGGTTGGGATGTGTGTGGGGGGGATGAGGGCTCTGGCTGGAGGTGCAGGCTCTGGGGTGGGGCTGGGGATGAGGGGTTGGGGGAGCAGGAGGGTGCTCCCGTCTGGGACTGAGGGGTTTGGAGGGTGGGAGGAGGCAGGGAGTTGGTGCATGGGAGGGGATCAGGGGTTCAGGCTTTGAGCGACGCTTACCTCAAGCAGCTCTCAGAAGCAGCGGCATGTCCCCCACCGGCTCCTATGCAGAGGCATGGCCAGGTGGCTCTGCACGCTGCCCTGTCCGCAGGCTCCGCCCCTGCAGCTCCATTTGGCCATGGCTCCTGGCCAATGGGAGCTGCAGGGGCAACGGTTGGGGTGGGGGCAGCGTGCGGAGCCCCCCTGGCTGCCCCTATGTGTAGGAGCAGGAGGGGGGACATGCCGCTGCTTCTGGGAGCCGTTCTGTGGCAAGCCTCTGACCCCGCTCCCACAACTGGAGGGCTGGATGTGGCCCCCAGGCCATACTTTGCCCACCCCTGTGCTAAATCAAATTCCCCTCCCAGAGCAGGGAATAGAACCCAGGCATCCTGAGTCCCAATCCCCAGTGCTGATCACTGCTAGACTCAGCCAATACTCCCTCTCCAGCAGCACACGTCCGCAGCCGCTGCCTTCCCACCATGCTAAACCCTTTTAGAACTAATGGGAGCAGTTGGCAGATTTTGTGTGCCTAATGGGCCACGGCCGGCATGGGTAGTTAACCATTCAAAAACTGCCTGGCGCTACCAATCGCATTATTCTATCAGACAAGAGATTAAGGCTGCAATTAAAGAGAGACAGGGAATTCGCATGGTGACCAGCCATGAGGAGCCTGAATTTCCAGAAGGCCACTTAGGGACTGATTGAGACAGTAATGAGGTGGGAATCAGCCAGTAGCGGGCTTGCCCAGAGCCTGGGTGGCAGCAGGTGGCCCAATGGTCGGGTCAGGGAGGTTTTCTGTACTCGGCTGAATTATTCCCCTGCTCCCGCCGTCCGCTGACGGAGAAGGCTGTTTTCTAGCAACCTGAGAAATCAGTGGGGCCGCACCCCTCAGCTCACCTGCCCTGGTGCTGCCCTGAGGCAGGAGGGGGTGTCGGCAAGCTCCCGGAGGGCTGGAGTTGGAGGTGGGGAAGGTGTGGGGTGGATGTCGTGGCAGCTGGATGGGGACTGGGGAAGAGCCAGTCCCTAGGCTCCGGCACCCCCTTGCAGCAGTGGATGGCAACGCAGAGCCGCCAGGGGAGGATCTGAGGTGAGCAGCAAACTCCCACCTGCCTGGGGTGAGGCCTGGCATGGCGGGTGGGCCTCTCCCTTCCCCCTGACTCCGCTCCCTGCGGGGTGTGTGCCCGTGGCAGGGGTGTGCAGAAAGGGGCACCTCATTAGCATCTCAGTGTTGGGCGGGGCATGAATAAGAGCTGCTGGCATCACTCTCGCCCCCGGGCCTGAGAGTTGGGGGTTTGACTCGGTCGCCGTGCCTTAGGCTCAGCCCCGTACCGACCCCGCAGGGCCGTGCGTCAGCAAGAGTGCAAGAAGGGTGACTCCCTTTGCAAAATGCAAAACCGGGACGTGTGCAGGAGCCCGGACGCCTTCCGTGGCCCCACCCCTGCTCCTCCTCTTCCCTCGAGGCCCTGCTCCCTGGCCAGGCTGGAAGCCAGAGCCAGGCACTGGTAAGAGGCATCCAGAGAGCCCAGGCTGCTGTGGGGAACCCTGGACCCTTGACCTGCCCTGGGCAGAGGGTAGGGGTGCCCAAGAGCAGTCCCCAGCCTGTGTCCCCGTCCCTTGGGGCACACCGCCCAGGGCAGGTGGAGGGTCTGGGACTCGGGGCTCCCCACAGCTGCCCGGGTTCCCTGGGTGGGTCTTACTACTGCCCAACTCTGGTTTCTGGCAGGACTGGGACTTGAAATATATATTTCGGGACTGTCCTGCCCAATTAGGGATGGGTGGTCACCCTAAGTCCAAGGGACATGCATGGAACATGCAAATATGTCCTTCGCTTTCCCTAGATGCTTGGCATTCCTGGCACTGACCCCTACATAACTGATACTTGTCTCAGCCATGGGTGACCCTTGTCCTCTCACTAGTAAGGGGTGGGGAAGGCACCAGAGTGGGGCTGCCAGGCCTGCCTGTCTGTCTGTAACTCCCATTAAAATCCAAAGGGTCCAGGTTCAGTCGTTGCTGATGAGCCAACCGGGGCATTGTTAGTATTCCTTGGTCCGTCCAGTCATCTCCACCTATCACCATGGTATTGATGCATCCCAAGGATGAGATGAGATGGTAAAGCAGGGTCTCTGGATGACCATCTAGGAGGAAGGTGAAGCTCCACAACTCAGGGTCTAGAAACTGGGGGGGTTGGTTTGTTTGAAAGCATGAATTCTGGAGGGGGGCATCGGAAAAGTATTTATCTGACCTTCTGGCTAGTACTGTCTCCCAGCTGACTGGAATTCCTCTCAGCTGAGCCCATCCTGTTTGATCCCTTCCAAAGGGGATCACTCAATATATTTTATTGACAAAGCCCCCCAAGAGTGTATTTATTTAGTCTAAAGGTGAGCACGCTGAACAGTTAAATAGCAGGGAATTTTAAAGCTGCATCCTGTCTTGTCCAGGGTCTGTCACTTTCCAAGGTGCTCTTCTGAGTTATGAGGAGAGGCTGAGGGAGCTGGGATTGTTTAGCCTGCAGAAGAGAAGAATGAGGGGGGATTTGATAGCTGTTTTCAACTACCTGAAAGGGGGTTCCAAAGAGGATGGCTCTAGACTGTTCTCAATGGTAGCAGATGACAGAACGAGGAGTAATGGTCTCAAGCTGCAGTGGGGGAGGTTTAGATTGGATATTAGGAAAAACTTTTTCACTATGAGGGTGGTGAAACACTGGAATGCGTTACCTAGGGAGGTGGTAGAATCTCCTTCCTTGGAGGTTTTTAAGGTCAGGCTTGACAAAGCCCTGGCTGGGATGATTTAACTGGGAATTGGTCCTGCTTTGAGCAGGGGGTTGGACTAGATGACCTTCTGGGGTCCCTTCCAACCCTTATATTCTATGATTCTATGATTCTATGATTCTTCGCTCTAGCAGACCCACGTAGAACAAGATCCAGTGACCGGAAGTTGAAGTGACACAAGTTGAGACGAGGAATGAGGTGTACATTTTTACCAGTGAGGGCAACTAACCACTGACACCATTTTAACAAGCAGTGTGTGTGTGTGTGTGTGTGGGGAGTCTCTAGCAGCGGAAAAAGTTGTCAGTCCTGGGTGGGTGTTTTTCTAAACGATCTGCTCTCTTCAAACAGGAATTAATTCAGGAAGTGCAGTGGCCTGTGCTATGCAGGAAGTCAGATTAGATGAGATGATCACAATGGCCCATCTTGGCTTTATAATCTATGAATTTACTATATGTATGTACAGCACTACCATAATGCACCTAATAATAGCACTCACTTTTGCAAAGCACTTTTTAGA